TCATTGAACGCAACACTCGAGCGCAAGGATCGAAGGTGCAATCGGTCAAAGCGGTCAAAGAGTGGCATTACGAGTGGGTTTGAGTGGTGTACGCAGGGAATGATAGGTGGCGCCAGCGGCGCAATCCTCAATTCAAATTTTATGGAGATTTTTCGTAATGTTTTATGGATCAGAAAAATGTCATTCGTGAATGATGCGTGAAGTGGTGACCTTCGGCGATCAGCACAATTTATTCGGTGTTTTTCGACTATTCAGATTGTCGATTATAGGAGGAGAAAATCTATCGTTTGGGATTTGATGGTGAAGTTGGTGGAGGGGGGAAGTGAATAGTGAAATATGGTCAAGCAAGATAACTTTAGGCAACGTCTATTTTGGTTTTCGATCCGGATCTCTAAAAGGAGATATGTAGAAAGCTTTTTAAGTGATAGTCTGTAATGTAGAAAAAATTTCCTATACGGAGAAGAAAACCTCCAGAAAAATGCACATTTTTGCGGAAATCCAGGGGAAAATATAAGACGAAAGGTGACAATTCACTTTAAATTCTGGAAATTTTATTGATTTGAAAAGTAATTTCAAACGAACGTAATTTGGTTTTCGATCCACATTTGTGAAGGGAGATATATAGAAAACTTTTTAATTGATAGTCTGTAATGTAGAAAAATTTTCCTACACGGAGAAGAAAAACTCCAAGAAAATGCACATTTTTGCGGAAATCCAGGGGAAAATATATGACGAAAGTTAAAAATTCACTTTGAATTCTGGAAATTTTTTTGGTTTGAAAGATAATTTCAACCGAATGTAATTTGGTTTTCGATCCATATCTCTGAAGAGAGATATGTAGATAGCTTTTTGAGTAATAGTCTGTAATGTAGAAAAAATTTCCGACACAGAGAAAAAAAAATCGAGGAAAATGCACATTTTTGCGGAAATCCAGGGAAAAATATAAGACGAAAAGTGAAAATTCACTTTAAATTCTGGAAACTTTCTTCATCTGAAAGGTATTTCAAACGAATTTAATTTGGTTTTCGATCCATATCTCTGAAGGGAGATATGTAGAAAGCTTTTTAAGTGATAGTCTGTAATGTAGAAAAAATTTCCTACACGGAGAAGAAAAACTCGAGGAAAATGCAAATTTTATAGAAATTCGGGGGAAAATGTAGCACAAAAGGTAAAAATTTCCATTTAATTCTGGAATCTTCGTTGATTTGAAAGGTAATGAAAACCAGACGAGTGATATTTTTGAGTTTTCGTGGGGTAAGTACACAGAGAAGAACAAATTTTTCTAATTATTCTGAATAAATTTTTATGCTAGTCCGTTCGGGAAATTTTCTGTCGAGTTTAGCCGCATGTAAGCATGGGGAAACGTCCGCCAGGTGGATAAAAATTACCTTTCGTATCAATGTAATTTTGATCGTGAAGTTGTAGGGGTGGGGAAGTTAATAGTGAAGTGGTCAAGCAAGATAATTTTACGCTACTTCCTAATATAGAAAAAATGTCTTACACGGAGAAAAAACTCCGAGAAAAATTGCGCGAAAAGTCATGTAATTGAGTGACGAAATGCACATTTTTACAGAAATTCTGAGGAAAATGAAAGACAAAGGGTGAAAATTCTCTTTCAATTCCGGAAACTTCATTGATTTGAAAGGTAATTTTCGGGTTTTCATGGCAAAAGTTGAGGAGAACAATTTTTTCTGGTTATTCTGAATAAATTTGTTACTCCGTAAATTCTCAGTAGTAATATCCCAGGCGCTTCAAAATTATCGAGTATTTCCCGATAGCTTCGTTGCAAACAAAGGAGGCTGTCAAGTTTTGCAGGTTAAAAAATCCCGAGCGCTTGCGCGATGGATTTTTCTGCAAAACTTGGCACGATGGTTTGTTTGCAGGGGAGCTTGAGGGAAATACCCGATTGATTTAGAATCTCGAGGGGTATTTGTCGGATTATTTTTCCCAATCGGATTTTGGCCAAGTAGAGAGCAGTGGACAACATCAGGAGATGAATTGGGGAAGATTTGAGCAAATTATGTTAATAGAATAACCCAATTTCCATAGACTGTCAAATATAAGATTCTATCTGCAATGAGCCGAAAAAATGAAGAGCTACTGCGAAATATTCAGGTAAAAAAAATTAAGAACTACTGCGAAATATTCAAAAGCTAGGAGGAAATATCCGAAATAAAACTGTCGGATAGCCTCAACAACTGCGCTCTGATTGGTCGAAATCCGATTGGGAACAATAATCATTACAAATAGCAAATTGATGCTCAAATTTTTTGGAACAAAAAAGTTTTAGAATTCCAACAAATGGAGGTATTCAAGAATACTTGAGTTTTGTTCAGTAAAATATACACGAGAATAAAGAAAATTTATCATTCCGTGATAAAGTATTGAAGAAATGAGAAACACGTGTATCTGAATGCCAATTTCACGAAATCCTTCGCGTAATCAATAAAATCCGCCAGGAAAAATTCCCCACGATAAATTTTTCAGTACTTTCAATCTTCCTGAAGTGGTCAAGATATTCCAAGAGATTCCGCAGAGGAATCTGCACAATCCAGTAGCGAAGTGGCGAAGCGCAACAGAACAAATCGATTGCTGACTGCCAATTGAAGACGAAGTTATCGTGATGAGTGATGCTGGAGGGCAAATATTGATGGAAAAACATTGGATCATTGTTTCCCCCCCAAGATTAACGATTACATAACCCGTCATAAATTACTAGTTTTTATCACTTGTGCGTAAAGTGAAATTTTACGCACGCTTCGCGTACACAAAATCCCACTTACCACACATTGTGATGAAAATAGGGTTCGAGACTTGTGAGAAAGGTGTTCTTTGATTCCAAGTTTTTCTATTTGACTTTTTCAAGGATAATCGAGCGAGGAGGAAATGTAGGAGGTGCGGCGGAGGGGTTTCTATTGTTTTCCTGCAGAAAACCAATCGCTGAACAAATACATTTTTCCCATTTGAATTCAAAATTCAGGCAATATTAGGGAGTATCTCCGGTTAAAAATTATTTTTGGAGCTAATCAAATTTATTTGTATCTGTTCCACGCATTGAATGGTTTTCAGATTGTTTTTTTTTAATAAATGAAAAAATATTAATCCATACGAAAAAGTGGCAACATCGTCGGTATTTTTTTTTTTTCGCCAGGAGCTGGTGCCAGTGGCTCGAGGGAGCTCCAATCACAACGCTTCATCGCTCTCTCTCAAGAGACGTTTAAATTGACCGCGCTACCCCCACCCGATCGGTACTTGGGACGTTGCTGCTCGTTTGGGCTACGTGCACAGAAGTTTCATTTTTCAGTACTTTTTTCGCTATTATTAATAAACAATGCTCCTAGGCGACAATCTTTTTCACTCAAAAAATCATTGATTACATGTTCTAAATGTGTCTAAAGTTTCATGATTTTAGCTGCATTTTTTCCTTGGGTTTTGCAGTTTTTTTGGTGATTTCCATAAGATCGCGGGTGAAATGACCACTTTTTGAAAAATTCATAATAAATTAACCATGCTCCCCAGCAGACTGAACCTTTGCACACGCCTTTTCCATCATTTAAAGAATACGTAAAAAAAGAAAAAAATGGCTGCTTTTTTTCCGACCCTGCCAGCTCGCCCGATTATCCTTAATGAAAAGAGAGCAAAAATACAGTGAAAAAATGAAAAAATTCATGTCAAGAAATATAGAAACTTCGACAGAAAATGCCTCTATAGAAAAAGTTGTATAGAAAAATCCAATTCCATGGATTTTTATTTTATAATATTTTCTATTGAACTTTTTTAGTGAAAAAAATGCTCACATGAACTGCGGAATTCTTCAACATAATCGGCTAGAAAATAATAGGGATGAAATAAAATTTTCTAGTGACTTTTATAGACGATAAAATTATCTTCAGTCAAATGCTCTTCCACAGTCTGTGAACTTGCGTGTAATTTCTCAGTCAATAAGAGAACTTTAGACCTACATAACTATGAACCCGAGTGCATGAGAAGATGACTCCATCACCTTATTTTTCCTAAAAACAACGAAACCATTCGAGAAAGATAGAAAAAATCGTCACAATCGCCGTAAATTCCTATTAAATCCGTAAATTACTGTTTTACGTTTTGATGAATAATTGAAGCCCTTCATAAAATTGTTGCAAAAGAGGAGGTCTTTGGGTCAAAATATATTTTTTCAATTCCAAAAGCTCTCTTGACAATTTTTGTAACCCTTCTCCTCTCGGATACGATCGCAAACAACAATTTGGTAATAAAATTATTTCCAAATTGTTATTGGCGATCATAAATCGCGATTCCGATTATAAATTACGGATTCACGTTGTGAAAAATAATTTAAGCCCTTCATAAAATTGCTGCCACATCGGAGATCTTTGGGTCAAAATATATTTTTTGAAGTTGAAAAGCTCTCTTGACAATTTTTGTAAACCTTTTCCTCTCGCATATGGTCGCAAACAACAATTTCGTAATAAAATTGTTTCCAGTCAAATTCTCTCGATCCCCTAATGACTAGCATGCGATTTCTCAGTCAATAAGAGAACTTTAGACCTACATAACTATGAACCCGAGTGCATGAGAAGATGACTCCATCGCCTGTATTTTTCCTAAAAACTCAACGAAACCATCCGAGAAAGAGAGAACAAATCCTCACAATCATCGTAAATTGCGTTTCCACGCTGTGAAGAATAATTTGAGCCATTAGTAAAATTTTTCCAACAATTTAATTGCAATTGTTGAGAAACACTGACATCGCTGACCCGCGCATGTCTCGTAATTCAAGGAATACATCAGGCCCGAGTGAGCACAATATTCAACCCGTATACGCACGTGCCCCAGCGAATAAGTATACATTCACGTGGCATTTCGAGTTAGTGTCAAAGGTAAAATTTACAATGATAACTGGATGGCGAAAAATCTCGGGGTGAAATGAAATTTTCCATGTTTCACCGGTCACTCTGTTCTCCATTCGATCATAAATCACGAGCAGAAGTGAAAAAGGATACATTGTATCATCTCCTGTATGCTGAGGGTCGCCAACTCCCCCTGGGACGAGTAGCACGAGGTGAATTCTTTTCTCAAATCGTGAAATACGTTGTAGTGCTCTGGTAAGTCTAGGTCCTTCTTGTAGCACTCTGGGTGAAGGCATTGGCGGAGGGGTGCTTGGCCATCGACGACGAAACGAGGCGGACTTCCGGCGGATACGCATGTCAGGGATGACCACCAAGTTTCGAACTGGAAATTAACAAGAAAACTCAATTATTGAGGGTAATTTGAGATATGTAAAGCGTTTCAGTATATTACATCGTGCAATTGATACAATTTGAGGTAAACAAGGAGGAAATTAATCTCTCTCTAATTTCTAATTCACTTTTTCTAATTTGAAAAATTTAACAATTGTCAAGTGCTTGATCATTTTCATGTAGCATTTTACTTTTTTGTTGTACAGGCTTTGAGAAAAAGTATTTTTCCGGTCTGTTGCGATGAGGTTTTTTACTCGTGTGGGTTTCGCCTCCGAGCCGTAGGCGAGGACTGGCCAACCACACGAGTAAAAAAACCCCATCGCAACAGCCCTGAGCCCAGGAACAATATTTTTCTGTAGTGATTTTTAAGTTTTCGAGTTTGGGAAGTATGTAATACTAATTCCCAGACGAGAAATCGTGAGAAGCAGTACAGAAAAGATACATTTCAATTTGGGAGCACGCACGAAAAAATTTAATTGAAAAACCTAGAGAATTCGCCAGACAATTCTATTGAAATGTTCAATCGTAAATATTCTATGGAAAAAGTGAATAGAATTCGATTTTTCTATATAACTTATTCTATTGAGATATTTTCTATAAAATTTCCTCGGCTTAGATTTTCTTGGATTTTTTTCGTTTTTATTTTTCAAATTTGAGCTAACGAAATTCTACAGAAAATATCTCACTAGAATAAGTTGTGTAGAAAAATCGAATGCTATTGGCTTTTTCTATAGCATTAATGAAACATTTCAATAGAATCGGCCAACAATTAATGAAAACTTCAATAGAAATCCAATAGAATTGATTAGCGAATTCGCTAGATTTTTCTATGAAATTTTTTCATACGTGAGTTCTTGAAATGCAGATTACAACACTTGCATTCTGTGAAATTGATTATTGAATATGCAACAATTTACTGCGGTAAAACGGGTTTTCTTATTAATTTAAAACGCTGAAGTACACTGTTACAAAAATTTTGCTGCTTTGTTGAAAAATTTTTGCTTAACATTATGTGTAACAAAATATCTTGTTTAACTGAAACATCACATAACATTATACACATTACATTAAATATTACGTATTCCAGTGAAATAATATATAATATTACATGTTGTTTCACGGAAATGATGAGGAAATTTGGAATACCGACGGCAGTGGCTGCACTGCGAAAACTAATGTCTGAATTTCAGACACTTTTGTAGACACTTTGCAAACACTTTTGGGACGATTTTGTAGACACTTTTGACGCATTAAAATGTGTCTGAATTAATGGAGGTATTTCAATTTCAGACACCAAGATGTCTGAAGTTAAGATTCAGACATCAGTTTCAGACACAAGCGGAGTTTGAAATTTTCAGACATCAGTTAGATTTTCAGACACTTTTAAAGATCCAGACGTTTTTTGCCATCTGCCATCTTAAATTCAGATGGGTGTCAGACACCTAATTTTTGCAGTGGATGAGTCAACTTTTCAGACATGAGAAATATCTTAAAAATTAATGTTTGAATGGACTTTGCCGTTTGAATCAGGTGAGATATCTTAATAGTGAAATGTTTGAATCGCTCATAAATAACTGAATTTCAGACACAGAAAATATCTGAAAATAAATGTCTGAAATTTTTCGGGCACAAAAAATGTCTACCATCATTTTCAGACAGAGACGGTGGTTCAAATTTTCAGACATTAGTCAGATTTTCAGACACTTGAAGATTAAGACGTTTTTTACCATCTGACATCTTAAATTCAGATAGCTGTCAGACACCTGGTTTTTGTAGCTGTGGGGTTAGAGTGTGAGATTGGCATGCGGGAGACCCGGGTTGGATTCCCGGTTGGGGCGGCCAAAATTTGTGACACTCTAAATCTCATGGTTTCATTGTCGAGCGGGAGTCTCACAAGAGACGACTGTACCTGGGCAGGTTTCTCCCTCAAATGAGGTTTTCTCTTGTCCTTCGGCGAATGCGGTACAGGAGGTTGGGGGGTGGGAAGGGAACAAATCGTAAAAACCTGAAAGGGTATACGAGAGGAAAAAAAAACAAAATAAAAATAAAAACTGAAACATCATATCACATTATACACATTACATTAAATATTACGCGTTCCAGTGAAATAATATATAATATTACATGTTTCACGGAAATGATGAGGAAATTCGTGATTGAAAATTTACCATTTGATGGAAAAATCAGAGAACATAGTGAATTTCAATAGAAATCGGAAAAATTGAAGTTAATATAATCTTGGATTTTTAATTAATTGGAAATTCAACGTAATTTGGTAGTGATAGTATATTACGCTGCAAGGGCGGCAACTCAGCGATTACACTCTCGCGCACGTAGTGCGCGAGAGTGTATCGCTGAGTTACCGACCGAGCGTCGTACGCCATTTTTCGTTGCAAGCGCGTGTAATACAGCGTTGCGTTCGACCGGGTGAAGTGTAATCGCAGCGATAACTTGCGGCGCGCAGCGAATTTCTGTGGTTCCTGGTAGCTTAGTCGGTAAGAGTGCCCGGCGCGTATCTGGGAGACCCGGGTTCGATTCCCGGCTGGGTGAAGCGGAAATTTTTTCTCTCTAAATTCTAATTCTCTTAGAATTCTTTAATGCCTAAAGGAGGTTAGGCGGTGTTTGAGGTGAATTTGAGAGTGAATTTCTGTGGTTCCCGGTAGCTTAGTCGGTAAGAGTGCCCGGCGCGTATCTGGGAGACCCGGGTTCGATTCCCGGCTGGGTGAAGCGGAAATTTTTTCTCTCTAAATTCTAATTCTCTTAGAATTTTTCGTAGTAATCGGTACGATTACACTTCAGTCGGTAGAACGTAAACGCTGTGATTACACGCACGTGCAATGAAAAAATTCATTTCGCATTCGTTTTTATTGAAATATCAAGTAAGTTGTGGAATTCTTGACTTCCTGTTACTCAACTATTTAGAATCTAAGTGATCCCCCCCCCCTCTTTAAATTGAATTGAATGTCACTCTCCTGAAAATTACTAGTCAACTGTCCAAGCAATTTCAAGTTTTCTAACAATGTTGGGGAGCTTTATCCAAGTAAGGAACTATCCAAGTGGGAAATTCGTGTAAAAGGCCTAGAGCCATACATCCAAATAAATTATTATTATTATTCCAAGTGGGAAATTGGTATTACTTAAATTACACTTTCCAAAAAATCACTTGGATTTTTTGGCAAAATTGATTGTCTGCAAATTCGTTAAAAAAGGTCGTAATTGTCAGAAAAATGCAAATTTTTTTTTTTCATCCATCTTCCTCAAGAAATTGCCTAATTTTTCCAGACTCTTAAAGTATTTCCGACGTTCAAAAATAAAACATTAAGTTTAGACCTTCGTTTGAATCATAGAATTACTGCAGAATTTTTAATGACCTAGGGTAAAACGGGGTTATTCTAAAACATTTGAAAGAAATTTAAACAAAAAACGAAATGGCCAAGGTATTCTGTTAGAAAAAAAATGAAATTTCATGGATAGTTGATTCTAATTTTTGAGGACAGCGACACTGAGGGCGATTTTGGGGGAAAAAAATCATGAAATTTCAGGTTTCACTGAAAATTTTGTAAAATTCCAGAATTCTAAGCAGCATAAAAGGGATCATTCCTTAATTCATTTGAATTTCCAATCTCATATGAATATTCAGTAGTAATACCCAAAGAGCTTCAAAATTATCGGGTATTTCCCGATAGCTTCGTTGCAAACAAATGAGGGTGTCAAATGAGGGTGTGGGGGTTTTGCAGGTTAAAAAATCCCGAGCGCTTGAGCGGGGAATTTTTCTGCAAAACTTGGCACGATGGTTTGTTTGCAGAGGAGCTTGAGGGAAATACCCGATTGATTTAGAATCTCGAGGGGTATTTGTCGGATTATTTTTCCCAATCGGATTTTGGCCAAGCAGAGTGCAGTGGACAACATCAAGAGATGAATTAGGGAAGATTTGAACAAATTATGTTAATGGAATAACCCGATTTCCATAGACTGTCAAATATAAGATTCTATCTGCAATGAGCCGAAAAAATGAAGAGCTACTGCGAAATATTCAGGTAAAAAAAATGAAGAACTACTGTGAAATATTCAAAAGCCTCAAATACTGCGCTCTGATTGGTCGAAATCCGATTGGGAAAAATAATCAGTGCGAAATTACATTGAATTTTCAGTGAAATCTGAAATTTCATGATTTTGTTCCCCCTAAATCGCATTCAGTGTCACTGTTCTCAAAATTCAAGAATATATTTATCGGAATTTTCTGGCTTTCTATTCATTTTCAGGGAAAATTGGAACTGAAATTTACCGTTCTCCTTAATTTTTCCACGAAATGCTGAATTTTCAATCATGAAATTCCTTGAAATTTCAGTGGTAATTAAATTCGATAAAAATTTCCAAAAAGTGTACCGGAAATTTCAAACGAAAATTTTCAACAGTGTACATCGATCTCTTGAAATTCAGAGATATTCCTCGAAAACCCCAGCCAGGGATAGGCAATAATATTAGATTTTGACAATATTAACAAGCAGTTGACCGCTCCTATATTGCATGTGACTGTTACTTTATGTGTTATTTGTATTTTAATTTTTTAATTCTACCAATTCCATTGGTAGTAAACTTCCGAATGGATCCATAGCAATTCCCTCCGAAGACATCGAGACGAGTATTTGAAAAAAACAAAATTAAATCGGTCAAGTAGTTTTTGAGATAGTGGCCAATATAGTTTTATACAAAATGTTGAATATCTCTGGAACTACTGGACTGATCGGGCTGAAATTGTGCATCAAACTTAAGCTTAATAGAACCTAGTATGGGCCACAATTTCACGTCCATATCAATAAATTTCCCCGTATCAATGTTATATTTTCTAAAAAGTGGTAACCCAAAAACCGAACTATCAGACTCGGACATACAGACATTTTCTAAAAACATAATTTCTTCACGTTTCATACCATTCTACATCATTTCTAGGCAAAATTAGAGAATGTCAAAATCCGACGAATACCATGCTTCCATTCGGAAGCAAAAAGTGATTATCTCCTTATATTGTTCAAAGTTTGACTATATTCAACAAATTTAAAATATTATAAAATTTATCAACTAAATTTTCTGATTGATGGTGCATGCAATATTCAATAATACTGAAAGGTAATTTTTTTAGTTAACAAGCTAATTCTAAATTTAGGTACTTGATTTTCGATTATCCAAATAATCGTCAATCTTCCTACCTAAATTATTTGTTGATAGAATATTTCGAAATTTAAATGTACAAATTGATGGTTAATTTAATATTGAAAATTTCAAGGTTTATGTCAAAAATTGACGACATCACAATTTAACGGTAATTATGATTGATTGATATGCCTATCACTGACTTCAGCTGCCTCACCTCGTTACCCTTTATATTACCACTTCCCTAGAATTAACAGCCAATGTCCCCACCCCAAGGAATCCTTCTTCCCTCTAAAATTGGAAAAATAAACATAAAACAATTTGTACTGAATACATAATGTTCGCCCGCACAGCAAAAAACCCTTTCACCTCCCAGCCATCGTGTTTTTCCACAAAACCGAGCCGTTGCTACCCGCATGCATTCATAAAATTAGCATGAATGTGACTCTCATGTTTAGAATGTCAAAAAATTCCCCCAAAAAACCACTCCTTTTACTGTTCATTTTTTTTCACCGCTGCATACAAAGTCCTCTTCGGGCATCCGTTTCCCAACAAAGAATGTCACAACGCAGATTATGGCGATGCACGACTAACTACGTTTGAGAGGATTTCGAGAATATCCATTTTTTATTCTTCTCCTCTTTTTGTGACATCTTCATCAAGCTTCGTCGGAGGACTGTGACGCAATGGTGGGAGGTTAGCACAAACCTGGCATTACCGAGTCGCTATGGCAAATAGTAGTCAGGGAAAAAAGAAAACGAGAGGCTTGCTAGGCACTTGAATTAAACCGGCATTTTTAGTTACGCCGTACCCAAATAATGACGTAACAGTGTATTATTCAGTTCTAATTTGTAATAATTTCACGAGACGAACTGTCCAAAAAAGTAACTGGTGGAGTTTGTTGAATGAGAACAGAATGTTTTGGTTTTCAGGGACATGTCACTAATTTTCAGACATTTGGCCCGAATTATTAGGGATTCACGATTGTGAAATTCAGTGAGTCAAAATCCTGAAATTCAGGGTTTTTATCATTAATTTTTAGTGACATCACCAATTTTCAGAGTAATGTCACTGATTTTTTCTTACAAAAATTGTATCAAGAACCTGGCGGTTCTTGAGATACACGGAGAAGAATTTTCTAGAAAAATTCTAGTACGAGTACTGGAAAAAATCACAATCCACCGGCTTTGTGATTAAAAAATTCTAGTGCTGTCAAGGTAAAATTTCTTGTTATTTCTGATAAAATTTCTGGGGATTTCTGTGAAATTTTCACAGAAACACAGGGAAAAAATCATGTTTTCCCCAATAAAATTTCTAGTGATAGTAATGGAATTTTTTCCTGGCCGTCACTTTGCGCCTCTTTTCCCGTGCTAGCACTAGAATTTTTCTAAAAAATTTCTCTCCGTGTATGCAACCTTTCGTGTAAATATATTTCTTTCAAATATCTCATGAACTACTTGATGGATTTCAATTTCTTTTTCAACATTCTCGTCTCGGCAGTCACTATCTGGATCAATCAAAATATATGAATCCATTCATAGAAATTTTCCAAGATATTCCCATTTTTTAGTTTTTAAATTTTCTTCATTCTTGTACGCATGAAAATTTGGGAGAAAATGGGGTTAACAAAAGAAATAAAAAAAAGAAAAAGACTAATAACGCAAAAAGTAACGATCACATACCTTGAGACGCACTGATAGAAAGGATTAGTTATTGTTAACAAATGGATTTAGTTGGAGACGAGGGTCTATTTGGTCTCCCCAAATGTTCATTCATTAATAGTTAACAAATGCATATTTGAGGTTTGTGAGACTCGATTTTTACCTATCACGTGAACCATTCATTAACTATTAACGAATATTCATTTGGTCATATTCAAGTCTATCATTCATTAATAGTTAACGAATCTTGTTTGGAATAAATGAATCAGTCTATCAGTGCAGATAGGCCCGAACCCCTGCTTGCTCTCAAGTTATCGTGCATACAAAATTTTTTATGGAGAAACGGAAAAACGGCAATTTTCCCAAACTTTCTATTGGAGTTAAATACAGTTCAGTCTCCGTTCAAGATACTAGGCTTGAATCCATGCCGAGTGATACCCCCACTTTCTGGCTTGAATGTTTTTCGTTTCGCATTTTCCGTACAAGATACTCGACAAAGGGGCTAGAATTGAGTGGGAATGGAGTTGAGATATCGCAAAAAATACTGGAAATATATGCATCTATGATCTAGAAATTAATTGCACATCAATTGAATTTCAAAACGAATGGGCGCTCGTTACTGTTAATAAAAAAAATTAATCGCATCGGTCATAAAACTTGGTAAAATATCTATTTTTTACACGTATTGCACCATGTGTTTTACGTCTAGTTTTTTGCTGGATAGATAGACAAAAGAAAACAAAACTCCACCCAATTTCTATGAAAACCAAAATTCCAATGAAAGTCTCAATTTTGCCTCGCAGGCCCCTATTAACAAACTAACTTATTTCGAATTTCTAAATTATTATTTTGAAAAGGAAGAATACCTTCTAATCAAACATTCGTGTTTCATATCAGGAATCGTACTCAAATGACCATAAAAATGGAAATCGTCTAGTATTTTGTACGAAGAATATCAAATCAAAATATTTTCCCCTCTGCGCGCAAGTAAAGTGGGGGATACATAATTCTCGGAATTTTATTCCCCTACAGTCCCTGTGGTATCTTGTACGAGGATTGGATTGTACAAGGCTTTCATTCAGAAGCAAAAACTATTGGATTGTTGATTTGTCAAGATTACCTGTTGAATGGCGGTTTGCAGGGGAATCCCCTGTTCCTTGAGGACTTGCTCATCTAAACTCGGCGCATGCGCCAACGCCGTTTCACTGACAACACCACTGCCCTCAACTGTCGTTGAATTATTCTCGTCCTCCGTCTGTTTGGCATTTGGAGCCATTGACCACGGTTGAACGATGTACTGTTGTTGACCCATAACCTGAAAAAAAAATAAAACCCAATAATTACTGATACATGTCGTACTGTAAATAATCATTATTTCCTCACAGGACACTTACGAAGGGGGAAAAAAATTGAAAAAGCATTTTTAATGATTGATTGACTACAGTTATATCGACTGTCGCCGGAAAGACGTGGAATTATGCATCCCAGGTATTTCTTCGGGGTATCATGAGAGGCTCGTTTATGAGATTCGCATATTCATAGTCGTCGGGTTCATTTGAAAAGCGTATGATTACGACGGCCATTTAAATGAGGGTATTCTGAATTTAATTCCCTCCTTCCAGCGCACATACATGATGGCATTCACCTTATTTCATTTCAATTCATACAGTTACGTGAAATAGCATGTGAAGAAATCGATATTATTAAGAACAAAAGCGGAGTTCATACTTGAGTATTTTGCATTGAACGACTAGAAATTAGGATACTTATGGCGGGGTGGGGATGTAGGAGGTGAGACGGAGGGGAACCTATTGTTCTCCCGCAGAAAATCAATCGCTGAACAAAAAAACGATATTTCAATTACAAATTTTCAATCTATTTCGACCATTTTTGTGGTCGATATACTTTTAATCAATTTTCTATTTTTTTCCCACATATTTCAGGGCTTCTTTTATTTTTCTAGCTTGTCTTTTGCATAATTGGAAAATAATTAATATGGATAGAAAAAAGTGACAACGTTGTGCCGTTTCGAAGCGCAAGTTGGCAGGACTGATTCACTCAGCTGTTATTTTCCTTCCCGTAGCGAAATGTATCATCACAACTCCATTCGTATTTGCCGCGCTTACCCCTCCACGTTGCGCACGCAGAATTCCTGTGTTTCATGAGTTTTTCAATTATGCTTTCTAGGCAATTCTTCTAGACCACTTGGATGATTTTTTGTTATCCTTCCATAATAGCTCCACCCAAGTGTTAAATTTCAGTGAAATTTTTCAGGCGATTTTTTTTCTATTTTTAATATTTTTTTTCCCGAATTCAATATTATATTGAATTGAAGAAGTTGCACCTTATAGTAATTTAGATCTATTTATCGTAATTGAAATTTGAAAATTGATATAATAATTGCTAATTTGATTTCTCAATTATTGGTTGATAAAATAATTCGAATTTGAATATTTAATTTGAAGATTGATAAAATAATTTGGAATTTGAACATTTAAATTGATGGGTATTTTTAAAAATTAAACAATTAGTCAGTAATATTAACAATTGACTGATTCCAAATTTAACTGTAATTCAAAATTTCGATTCTGCCGATGTCTGCCCATAAGAGTCCGTGTTAAAGTGCCTTTTTTGAAGAAAAATTCCCGGGTTTCACCCATTCTCCTATACGGAGAGAAATATTCAATAAAAATTACGTATTTTTTCCGTAATTCCGGAGCGAAATGTGGGTGTAGGAAATTTTACGGAACTGTCACGGAAGTTTTCCGGAGCGTTCCATAATTTTTATCCGAGTCTCTTGTGAAAAATTACGAAACCGTCACTTAAATTTTCTGAGTCGATTCCGTAATCGGTGAGTGAATTGTGAGTTCCGTAATTTTTACTGAACATTTCTCTCCGTGTAGGCTATCTGATATTTTGCATAGGGGTTTTGCTCTTATGGACGCAATTTGTAAAATTTCATTTCTGCAAAAAACGTTTTCTCGAAAAAAATGTTCGGAAACTAAAGTTGATATTGCGCCTAAAAATACTCTTGGTCTATTCCATAAACTCCGAAGAAGATTTCCCCCAGAAAAAATTGCCCGAACTACTGCGTATCCTTAAGTGCATTAGTTTTCTTTATAATTTGTTTTTACATTTTGATTTTCGTGATTACAATAAGAGTCTGCTTCATTTCTGATTCTGCAATTTATTAATCACGTTGATCGGTCGATTCAACAGAAGTTGTGACAAAATATCTCGTTTAAAGCGAATTTTCATTTCTTTTCATGTTCATATCTTTCATTGAAGTTATACTCAATAGTTGCATTGCATTGCCGCTTGATAATCGTTGCATCTGATTTTCTACCCGCATTTTTTTTCAATAGCAAGAAGACTCGATGAACTTTCGGGCAGTGTCGACACCTATGACCCGATCAGTCGACGCTGAATGCGGTGAGGAAACGTTTCCACTTTGTAAATACTGATCAGATGAAAACGGTATAGTAACGACAATAATAAACGCCTTTTTTTATTTTTTTAGACAATTAAATCAATATTTTTTAGCACCATATCAATACGACACACAAGCAGATAGATGTAATTAATAAAAAAAAATCAATAAACAAAAATTATGCTTAATTAACAAGTGTTACCCCGTGACCAATGTTCGTCGAGTCTAAAGACTGCTAACTATCAAAAATTTTTGATAGAAACGTTTGTTATGTGTGAATATTGTATGTAAACATTTTGTATCGCTGAATAACAAACATTGTTAAGTAAAAAACAAAGAACAATATAGTAATATCCTGTCTTTTCAGAAAAATTCATGAGGAAATCGGATCGATCGAGGAATTTTCACGGAATGTTTTTCCTTTATCAGTAAGTTCGGATATGATTCATGCACATAAAAATTGTACACAGTTATGTTTGGGCACAAGTGTAAAAATTTAGTAAGACGCGCACACCAGTTTTTTTAATGTTCACAGTTGCACTTAATGTCATTTTTGTTGTAGACGTGAAATAAATTGGGTAAAATTTTCAAATGTTTATGCACAAAATTATGTTAATCAAGGAAGTTGCACACAAACCATACAAAATTCCCAACCAATATTTACCTGAATTCCTAAAATTACTCCATCTCTCTCACACAGAAAATTAAAACTTAATCCACCTCCACATAATGATGAATATCAGTTGAACTGTAACTATTGTTTCGATTATATTCGAGTATTAACCCTAGATTGTTCACCATATGATGGAAACGCCGTAGCACATCTTTCTTTTTCTTTAATTGCCATTGACTGACTAACCAGAAAATTTTTTAAAATATTCTCAATTGAAGTGTCCAAAAAACTTTAGTTTTGGCACAACATAATTCCTGAAATTTATAAAGTGAACAAATTATTTCAAACAGATGAGTTATTTTTTTCCATGTTAACCATCCTGAACTGTCTCAATGCACACAGTACCGCTCGTTTTCGAATTTTTATCTTTTCAGTGAAATGAGAGTTAATAAAAATCGGAAAAAATTACAATGCCTACTTTCGACTATATTGAATTTATATCAATTTTTATTTGAGTAAAAATATCCTTTCGATGGAGTTCTCTCAGATCAAATCAGTAGTGAAGTGGTCAAACGCTCTCGATGAATATCTCAAATTTTAAAGTTAGCAAAATTTTCCTAAAAATCTTTTTTGTAAAGAAAAGCGAAGACTATCAAAAAAGATTTTAAACAAATTCCGCTATCTTTCTTAAATTCCAAGTTATTCAACAAAAACTCAACTGGGAGCTAAGTCGACTTAAACCGATTGACTACTTCACTACTGAAATTGTCGTACAATAGAATATATTTTTCCAGCCAACAGTTCGAATTCTTCTAGGGATATTTCTGATGATCACGTCAAAAATTAGATTTTTGTGAAAAATATTAAATTTCTTTCTATCCAGTTCGTTAATTTCCCTCAAGTAAATCTATTCCACTCCATCAAAATAATATACATAAAAAAAACTATTTTTCCCAACCCTAGCATACCATTACATAAAAAAATAAATACAATATTTTCTCCTCTCCGACCCATGCATCCACATAAATTTTGATTACCCTTATGCAAGAATGCCTTACATATTGAGATATATGCAACCAGAGCAAATATACTAAATAAATTATTCAAATAAATCCATACAGATGTGACGCGTGTTCTAGAATTCGTAGAATAAAAAAAAAGGAGAATTGCAGAGAGGGAACTGACAAAGAAGTACGTAACGATAACGATAACGCACGAGCAACACACGCGACATATCTCTTTAGTCACGGTAGCATAAGAAGTGTAATAGTTGAGTATGTGCACTGCACGGTGAGGTTAACAGATCAAGGTAGTTGACTATGCGATCTCCTTTGCCCGGGGTGCCCCAGCGGTTCAACGATTATGCCTTTTCTGTGACAGTTGGGGCAAAATAAAACTGGGTTGACAAGACTTGAAAAAAGTCGCCAAGCCCGTGTGTCGTATATGAATGGGTCATGCCCGGTGGATATTGGTGTCCAGAGTCCAATGGGTTTTTTTTTTCATCATCGTCGTTCGATCCTTTCTTTCGTGTGTGGGGAAATAAGAATCGTGACGCTTGAGTTTTTTGATGAGATGTTACGACTCAATCGGGGGAAGGTTGCATCGTTTATGTCGCTGGGTCAGATGAACCGCCAGCTGACCGAACGAAGTGAGGTTAGACCGCGGTTTGTAGGCCTTGGAATGTAATATTTTATGTTACTGTGTCCGATAAAACGCGGGTCTAACCTCGCTGCGCTCGGTTCAAACGCGATTTTTATCCGCAATAACATAAAATAATCCTTCATGTAATCTAATGAATTTGCGATGAAACGAATTAACCCCTGAAGCTTCGAAATGGAGAACTTTGATCGTGTTCTTTGGTTAGATGTTCTAAGAGAAAAAATGTGCTCTGCCGAAAAACTGTGTTCTACGGGAGATTATTTGATGCAGTAGAACAGATTTATCGTTCGATCCTTTCCTTCGTGTCGCTAGGTTTGATAAACCGCCAGCGGATCGGACGAAGTGAGGTTAGACCGCGGTTTATAGACCTTGGAATGTAATGTTTATGTTACTGTGGCCGGTAAAGCGCGTTCCTAAACTCACTGAGCTCGGTTCAAACGCGATTGTCAGCCCCAATAACATAAAGTAATCTATCATCTAATCTAGTGTGTTCGCGATGAAATGCATTAGTCCCTGAAGCTTCGAAATGGAGAACTTTGATCGTGTTCTTTGGTTACATGTGCTGAGAAAAAACATTAGCTCTGCCGAAAAACTATATGTTCCGCGGGAGAAT